TTTACGTGGACTTTTCTGAGGACCAATGACAAAGTTTTAGTGGACCAGCCGAAAATACACAAAGAACCTACAAAGCATTTCCACTCAGCACAGAACCAACTTATTGTTAGCCATTTCTGACATGGATGCTGTGATTGCTGTTCTCAGATAAATGGACTGAACACGTTCCAGTGTGACAAATAATAATCTATCAAAGTTGTTGTGCTTGATGATAATGTTTAGAATATGATGATAGTATTTATTTGTAAGTCTCTAAGCATAAATGCTAATCTAAATGTTGCTATTTATGTTTTTTTTCTAACCTTAGTCTAGGTCTCAATTGTGTAACTCGGTGATTTTCACTTCCTGTTTTTACCTGTTTTAGAGGAATGACTCCATGGATGGTGGTGTTGGTTGGTTACCTCCTTTTATAGACGGAACTATCTCAGACTAATTATTGATTTGCCATGACGTTTTGACGTTCATATTTCTCAGAAGATTAATGTTATTACATGTCTTCTTCAGTTGTGCATCACTGCCCCTGTTGCATCTCTTGTTTATGTTGATTTGTGGGCCAAAGTGCAATAACTAGCTCGATTTTGCTTTAAGAACACGTCCAAATTTCACCTGTGTGTTTGCAGACCTCACCTCCTCTTCATACTTCACACTATAGAAAACTCTAATGTGTACATGTAATATACAACTGCACTCATACTCTCTTTATTTACCCAGTGCATGTACACTGCTTATAAAAATAAAACCTGATCAAGGCTTTTGTTGTTGTTCTTGTTGTTTGTTCAGTTCGCTTGTGAAAACTGCACAGTTTTATCAATAAATCAGTTCACAGAAGAAATCCTATGATTGAATTCAATTCAGTTCACCAGCTATCACCAGTTAGCCTGTCTGTATCTGGAAATTGCACAGGATCTTATTTTGGTCATTCAGAACTACGCTAGGAGGTGTGTCCCATTTGAACCCCAGGAATTCCAGACTATACTCGACACAGATGTCCTTGTATACTATGCCAGGCACTTGGTTATGTCTTCTATGTATGCTCTGCCTGCCAGTATCTTGCACTCTGCTGTTATGTGCTGGATTGTCTCAGGGGCATCTTTGTACAGCCTGCACCTGGTATGGTAGACCCCATTCTCTATGGATCTCGTGCTTAGAGTTTGTACCTGTGCTGCCACAATTAGTGCCCCTGTGTTGTCTTTCAGTCCAGCTTTTTCCAGCTGCTGTTAGAACATCTGGATGTCAGCCACATCTTAGGACTTGTCTTACCCTCTGCAGGTACTTGATGGTTTCAGCTTTCCTAGCACCTGTACATGATTCCCATTTGCCTGTGGGATTCCAAGGTACTTGTAGCTGTCCTTGATGTCAGCAATGTTCCCTTCTGGTAGTACAGTTCTAACTAGTTTCCCTGTCTTTGTTAACGTCCGAATACACTTCTCCAGTCTGAATGACATTCAGATGTCATCGCTGTAGATCCTAGTGGTGTGGATCAGGTGTGGTGTGAATCCATGTCTCGTTCACTCCTGGCACACAGCTTGATGTCATCCATGTAGAGGAGGTTGCGTGACAGCTGCTCCATTCCGCAGTCGGTATCTGTAGCCAGTCTTGTTACTGAGGGGGTTCAGGCCTATACAGAACAACAGTGAGGACAGGGCATCCTCTTGGTAAATCCCCACACTTGATGGTGACTTGTGCAGTTGGCTTGTTGTACAAGTTGGCCTGTAGTGTTGTTCCCCACATCCCCATCAAATTCCTGACGGAGGCTTTTAGGGTCCTGTTGATGAGTTCTACACATTCCAGGATCCATGTGTGAGGCATTGAGTCACAGGCTTTCTTGTAGTCAATCCAGATGGCGCACAGGCTGGTGAGCCTGGTCTTGCAGTCTTGGGCGACTGCTCTATCTACAGGTAGCTGATGTTTCACCCCTCTGGTGTTTCTGCCAATTCCTGTCTGTGTCCCACTCAGGTATTTAGCCATGTGCCTGTTCGTCTTTGCCGCTATGATGCCTGACACGAGCTTCCATGTTGTGCTTAGGCAAGTTAGTTGGCTGGTATTTGGATGGGACCGGTCCCTTCTGGGGAACTTGGAAATCAGAACTGTCCGGCCTTCAGTTAGCCATTCCGGGTGTGTCTCATCCACTAGCAGCTGGTTCATTTGTGCTGCCAGATGTTCATGGAGTCCACTCAGCTTCTTTAGCTAGTAGGCACGAATCATGTCAGGGGCTGGCGCTGTCCAACTCTTCATATTGGAGACCCTTTTTTGAATGTCTGCCACTGTAATGCTTACTGGATCCTGTTCCGGGAGGTTGCTGTGGTCTGCTCTTAGATCCCTAGCCACTAAGCAGTTGTTCTCCCCTTTGCTCTTCTAGTATTGGTCTGTCTCCAGCCTTGGTGGGGCTGTTCTTCTGCCACTGAGAGTACACCTTGGATGGTTCAGTGGAGTACAGCTGGTTCATTCTCCTGCCTTCCATCTCTTTGGTATACCTCTTCAAGCAGCTGGTCAAGGCTGTGAGGCTTTGCTTGGCAGTTTCTAAGGCCTCAGGTATAGACAGCTTGCT